ATGTTCTGCCTGATTAAATTAGGAATAGAGACGTTGCCACGTCACATTAGTCTGTTGAAAATGTTTTGCTAATAATGGAGTTTCTATGTTTCTTAGTATTTTTCTTGTCTTGTAAAATTTATTTCAAAACTGCTAGTATTTTCCATATCCATAGCTGGGTAAAGGAAACTCTCTTTGTGGGGAGAGTGGTTAAGAAATGTACACGTGGAGTGCTTAGGTATTAAAATCTGTAATGTTAAGGAAATTATTTACATTAAAATGATTTACTCATTAGAGATAACTCCTCTAAACTCATCTCTAAGTCTCAGTGTTTTGACCAATAATACCCTTCCCAAAGAGATTTGTGAGTATTAAAGTAAATGTATGTATAGTACTCCACACACAGAGAAGATACTGAGTGATGATAGCTACTGTTATTACTATTTTTCCATTATATATGTGATGTTCTTTTCCTCCCTACATAGTGAAGCTTAAGAAGTTACATTTTTTAGAATATTAGAGCAGGACTGGATGCACATTAAACACATCCAGTATAACCATGGTAAGGAATTTGCCAATATTTTGTGGAACTTTTGTTTCTGGAGGACATATTTGAAGTCTGGTACATTAGATTTTCAAACTAGATGTTCTTTTCATCTGGAACACTTTTCCACATGATATTCACATGACTAATTTCGCTACTTACATGCCATCTTCTCCGTGAGGCCTGTCCTGACCATTCAAGACCTGAGCTGAGATCAGGAGCCAGACACTTAACTGACTAAGCCACCCAGCTACTCTCTGTCCTGACCATTCTAATTAAAATTGCAACTCATGATGTGCCCGTCTTTACTTCCAACACCAAGGTTTGTGTTTTTTCCATAGCACTTATCACCTTCCAATATAATATTCAATTCATTTATTTATTTAATAACTAATATTATTATTTTTATTGTTAATTGACTATCTTTCTCTGTTCAGATGTAAATTCCACAAGGGCAGGGATTTGTTTGTTTGTTTCTTTTGTCATTTGCTATATCCCCAAAGCCTAGAACAGCACATGGTAGGTTCTAAGTAAGTATTTTCAGTTGAACAGAACCTTCTGATTAAATCTCATCCTTCTAAACTCCATACTTATGTCTTTCATTTTAAGATAAGAAACTTACCACATGGAAATTCATGGCCTGCTCGTTTGGGAAAACTCAGATTTTAAAATTATTGTTTTCCATCCTATTGGCCACAGCATTCTTGTCAGGGAAACTAGTGATAGTGAATTTTTTTTTTTTCATTATGAAGAGTGAAATACCTTTTAGTTTTATTTTGAAAACTTTAAACAAAATCTTATAAATGGTAAAATGATAAGAACACTAAGTATTAGCTGGTATGTGTTTTCAGTAACATTTTCACCTCCTGGTTTTTAAAGTGATAAGCATTCTTTATAGAACATGTAGGGTGTTAGTCTACTTGGGCTGCTGTAACAGAATAACTACAGACTTTGTGACTTAAACAACAGACATTTATTTTTTCACAGTTCTGGAGACTAGTAGTCCAGTATCAAGGTGCCAGCAGGGTTGGTTTCTTGTGAGGCCTCTCACTTTGGGTTGCAGATGATTGCTTCGTAGCTGCATACTCATGTGGCCTTTCCTGTGTGGGTATGGGAGTGGAGTGTGTGTAGGGGGGAGGTCTCTATTGTCTCTTCTTTTTATAAGGACATCAGCCCTATTGGATTAGGGCCCTGTCCTTATTACTCCTTTTAATCTCAGTTACCTCCTTAGAGGCTCATCTCTAAGTACAGTCACATTGGTGGTTAGTATTTTGTAAGAACTTTGGAGGGAAACCATTCAGTCCATACATATAGAAAAGAATAAGAGGAAAAAAATTCATTTATAATACCATTATTCCCCAGGTTAAACTACTGTTAACATTTTTGTATTCCTCCAGTCATATTTTTTTTTTTGTATTTTCAAAGCTTTGCAATCATGCCATAGTATTTTTTTTTTTTTTTTTTTTACTTAACATTCTTTAATGTGAAGTCAAAGTTTGCAAACTCAGATGCTTATAGGGATCAGGCAGGCAAGGTAATAATGGTAACCAACATTTATTGAGTTCTGTTTGCCAAGTACTTTCCTAGAAATTTGTATGTATTATATATGTCCTCTTTCTTAGTCTTCACCACAACCCTATGATCTATATGCCATTATTTTTTCCATATTTCAAGTGAAAGAAAATAAGGCACAGGGAGGTAAAAGAACTGTTTGAGGACACAGCTAGTAGGTAGCTTTATTGTCATTGAGACCCAGCTGCTGAAATGACTGAAATGGGGTGGTGGGCTACAGTGGTGAACTTGAGAGAACATGCCCCACCTAGGGCATCCACAGCTCATGAAGAAAGGTCAGTCTATTGTAAAAGATCTTTCAGTTTTTTGATAGCAGTGAAAAATCTGTATTTTTACATGAAACATTGGCAATTAGGAAAGTTAAAAAAACATTGTTGAATAGAACTTTTTTTAGCTTTGAGACATTTTATTATAAAAAGCTAGTATTTCTAAACATAAACTAGTAAGAATTTATTGCACTTTTATTTTTAGATTTTATTTATTTAAAAACTCATTGCACTTTTACTTCACTTTTTTTTTTTTAAAGATTTTATTTATTTATTTGACTGACAGAGATCACAAGTAGGCAGAGAGAGAGGAGGAAGCAGGCTCCCTGCTGAGCAGAGAGCCCGATGCGGGGTTCGATCCCAGGATCCTGAGATCATGACCTGAGCTGAAGGCAGAGGCTTTAACCCACTGAGCCACCCAGGCACCCCTTTACTTCACTTTTTATCTTGACCTTGTAGTAAATCTTTAGCTTTATTGATTTTTCCTGCTGTATAAGGAGATCCTCCCTTGTTAGGGCGATTAAAAAGCACAGTTTGTAGAAGAGCATCTCTTTCCATTATTGGTAGTAGAGTTTACACCTGCTGTTAATGCTGCCTCTTGTTTTGGCACTTTGTGTTCAAACCCACTTCTGTAATAGCTGCCACTGAAGGTAGATTTTGGTAGACTTTGAAAACTTGTTTTGTTTGAAGCTCTATATGCTTCATGGCTTGCAAAACATAAAAGCCTGCAAATCCTGCAGCAGTAATGGTCAGTCCATTTGCTACTACTACACGGCCCATAGCTCTGGCTTGGTGCCCCTGCATCCACTGAGAGGTTTATCCCAGCCCAGAGGCTGCAGCCATCAATTCCATGCCTCTACCAGAAAGCACCACTGGCAGTTACAAAGGGCCCAGATACAAGTACCCCAGGAAATATGGGAGCAGCTGCCAAGTCAGACAGATCTTGTCTGTAGATTGCATTCAGCCCACATTTATAAAATCGGGGTCACAATAGTAATACCTGTCTCCAAATTTTGATGTAAGATTTTAAATGGGGGATTCTATGTATAAGGTTTAGTTTAATACCTGGCACATAGTGCTAAGTAAATGTTAGCTAACATTTGCCCAGTCATTAGAATTCTTTAAAAGTATCATTTACTATTGTTTTTATTTTAAGAGATTATGTAAGTAATATATGGGTACACGTCTTTTATAAAAAATTTCAACAGTATAAAAGAATAATTAATTATAGGATTGAAGTTGCATTTGCTTTCCACTCCCAACTTCCTTCCTCTCTCTGTATATAATTAAAAACCCATAAATGCTATATTTATCTTTCTGGCATTTTTTTTTTTTTCACTTTTTATGTCTTGGGAGATCTTCTGAGGCCAGTTTATACAAAACGTCTTCATTCTTTTTAAAGGTTGTCTGGTATATTCTTTACTCTGGTGTACCATAATTTATTGAACTAGATCTCATTTGTCATTTAGGCAGTTTTCAACCTTTGGCTATGATAAAGAAGGTTTTGCAAATAGTATATATATTTGTGCACATTTGTGACATTTTTCCTAGGCTTGATTCTTAGATGGAATTGCTGAATCAAAACCATATTAACTTAATATAGAGAACACACTGATGGTTACTGGAGGGAAGGTGGATGGTGGGTGGGTGAAATAGGTAATGGGGATTGAAGAGTGCACTGTGATGAGCACTGGGTGTTGTATGGAGTTGCTGAATCACTATATTGTACACCTGAAACTAATTTCACACTGTGTTAACTGGAATTAAAATTTAAAAACTATATTAAGAATTTTTACAGCTATTGCACCTTTGTTAAATATTTTTTTTAATTTATTTAAAGATTTTTATTTACTTATTTGACACAGACAGAGAGAGATCACAAGTAGGCAGAGAGGCAGGCAGAGAGAGAGGAGGAAGCAGGCTCCCCATTGAGCACAGAGCCTGATGTGGGGCTCGATCCCAGGACCCTGAGATCATGACCTGAGCTGAAGGCAGAGGCTTAACCCACTGAACCACCCAGGCACCCCGTGTTAAATATTTTTTAGTAGCTTTGTAGTATTCCATTTTGTGAATCTACCATTATTTACTGATTTCGTATGTTGACACAGTTAGATTGTTTCTAATTTTTTGCCACTGTAGATGGACCTGTGATAAATATCTTTGTTAGTAGGTTATGGTTTTTAAAAGGTAAGTAGTCAGGAAGTTTTCAACTAATAAGTGTATTTCTGAGGATTTTCTTTCCCAAAACTATTATAAGAACCATATTTAGTCATAATTTATTATTTCTAGAAAAATAGAGGTTTGATAAAATCATGGCCTAGGGTTTTTAATATTACAGTCAAGATTTTTAGAATCTTTTATATATGTTTCATTTTAGGTGTTGTCATCTGTAATGAAGATCACTGAAAAACAGAAGATTGAATAAAGCCTTGTAACATTGGACCTGGATAGGACATTTAGAAAAGAAAATTACTCACGTTGGTTTTAGTGTTTCAATTTCATATTTATTCTTTTGAATAAATTTAAGGAGTAGAAATTAAAATTCAGTGCTGTACTAACAGATGCACTTATACTATTTTTCTTCTTTTTTTTTTGTATGAGAGAAGAAAATAGATAACCAAGAGCTCTAGTGATTCATAATGAAATACACTAAATTGCACTTTATGTTGTCAGTTCTTGGCATTATAATCTATATAACTGATTTAATTGTGGACATTTGGGTATCTGTCAGGTTTTTCTATGAAGGACGAAATGTTTTTGGTATTTTAACAGTAAGCTTTATGCTCTTTGGAACACTTGTGGTACAGTGTTTTAGTTACACTTGGTTCAAGGCTGATTTAAAGAAAGCAGGCCAAGAAAGTCAGCACTGTTTTCTTCTACTTCATTGCTTGCAAGGAGGAGTTTTTACAAGGTGAGCATACACTTTTGATCATTAACATTATTTTTCTTTTATGTAAAAAGAAACTACCTTTCTGTGTTTGGGTAGTCAAATGTACAAAGTTCCCCTACTTGCATGTAGCACAAAGGTCACTTGCTCCTCACTATCAGTGGTTATATGAGTCGTTGCTACTGTTAGAATTTTCTAGGTTCATTAATAGAATGTTTTAATTTACCTTGGGACACCTGGATGGCTCAGTTGGTTAAGCATTCAGCTCTTGATTTCGGTTCCAGTCATGATCTCAGGGTTGTGGGATCCAGTCCTGCGTCAGGCTTGGTTTAGCGTGGCGTCTGCTGCTCTCCCGTCTCCTCGCCGCCTTCCCCTGCTTGTGTACGTGCACACATGAGCGTGTGTGTGTGTGCACGCGCGTGTGTGTTCTCTCTCTCAAAATCTTAAGGGATATTTTCTTAAATTTCAATTCAATTAATATATAGTGTATTATTAGTTTCAGAGGTAGAGTTCAGTGATGCATCAGTCTTATATAATACCCAGTGCTCATTACATCCTGTGTCCTCCTTAATGTCCATCACCCCATTACCCTATTCCCTCAGACCCCTTCCCTCCAGCAACCCTCAGTTTGTTTCCTATGGTTAAGAGCCTCTTATGGTTTGTCTCTCTCTCTGACTTTGTCTTGTTTTATTCTTCCCTCCTTTCCCCCCACAATCCTGTTTTTTTTTCTCCTAAATTTCAAATATGAGTGAGATCATATGATTATTGTCTTTCTCTGATTGACTTATTTTGCTTGGCATAATACTGTCTGGTACCAGCCACGTTGCTGCAAATGGCAAGATTTAATTTTTTGATGGTTGAGTAATATTCGTATATATCTATATCTGTATCTATGTATCTATACAGGTATATATATATATTTATATATATATATACCACATCTTCTTTCTTTATTCATCTGTTGATGGACATTTGGGCTCTTTATATAGTTTGGCTATTGTGGACATTGCTGCTATAAACATTGGGATGCACGTGCCCCTTCAAATTAAGTTACTTTTTCTGGTATGTACTCACTTTTTGTGGGGGGATGACTCATTTCTGTGTCTTATGAATCTTTTATCTTCTATTTTGTATTCCAATCCTGATTATATAAATATAGTTTATCACATGCAACTGTGTTAGATCACTTAATTTTTTAAGTGATTTCACGATATGAAATTTTTTAAGTGATTTCACGATATGAAATTTTTATTGTAATAATTGCAGTAGCCATATGGTTAATTAGGTACAGAATCATATGCAGAACTAAAAATAACTTTAAGAATCATCTTGTTTGAGGACGCCTGAATGGCTTAGTTGTTAAGCATCTGCCTTCAGCTCAGCTTATGATCCCAGGGTCCTGGGATTGAGTCCCATGTCGGGCTCCTTGTTCAGCAGGGAGCCTGCTTCTCCCTCTGCTTGCTGCTCCCCCTGCTTGTGTTCTCTCTTTTTCTCCCTCTCTCTCTGACAGATAAATAAAATCTTAAAAAAAAAAAAAAGGATCATCTTGTTCATCTTGTTATTTTATAGTTAAATTAGGAATCTAAATAAGTCCTGAGAATTCTATGATTTTCCATATGTCTAATTTCATTTGACCTTTTCAGTATTATCTTAAGGCATTTAATTCTGTTAAAAGCAATATATATGTAATAGATAAAGAGAAAAATAAAGACAAATATTAGATGGATAATATTTTTTTTTTGTTACAATTAGATTTTGAATTTGGGCTATTTTAACTACCGTCTTTCTTCAGAGATATTTTAATGACTGTAGAATTCTAATATGTAGTTATTTTGTCTCTGCATATTATAGTCTCTGCATATAAATCTCTTGGTTTCTGTTTTTGCATTTCAGGAATTAGATATCGGTTTTACTGCTGTTCTTTTGTTTTTTAAAAAAAAATTAAAAATGTAGGGGCACCTGAGTGGCTCAGTGGGTTAAGCCTCTGCCTTCAGCTCGGGTCATGATCTCAGGGTCCTGGGATCGAGCCCCGCATCGGGCTCTCTGCTCAGCAGTGAGCCTGCTTCCTCCTCTCTCTGCCTGCCTCTCTGCCTACTTGTGATCTCTCTCTCTCTGTCAAATAAATAAATAAAATCTTTAAAAAAAAATTAAAAATGTTATTTTTTTAAAAAGATTATTAGATTATTAGAGAGAGTGAGAGATCATGAGCAAGAGGGAAGGGTAGAGGGAGAAGAAGACTCCCTGCTGAACAGGGAGCCCAGAGCGGGACTTGGCCCCAGGATCCTGGGATCATGATCTGAACTGAAGGCAGATATTTAACCAACTGAGCCACCCAGGTGGCCACTGCTATTCTTTAAAAAGTATTTTATCTTTTTGGGTTTATACAGTTTCCGATATATCTAGGTATAGATTTTTTTTTCCTCTTGGGATTTGCTGGCCTTCTTAATTCTGTGGATTATTATCTTCCATCAATCTTGCACAATTCTCAGCCATTATCTTTTCTAATGTTTTCTGTGCTACATTTCCTTCTGGGACTCCAAGCAAATGTAAGTTAGATCTCACACTATCTAATATGAGTGTTGCATGTTAGGTGTTTTGAATTTTTATTTTTAGACTCTGTGTGATACATTCTGTGAAAATTTTTCATAACTCTTTTTATTTCACTAGTACTTTCATTGTGGCCAAAATGTTATTCCACCCAACATCTGAGTTTTATTTTACTTTTTAATTTTAATTTAATTTTATTTTTTAATTTAAATTCAGATTGTTTAACAAATAATGTAGTATTGGTTATAGGAGTAGAAGTTAGTGATACATCACTTACATGTATCATCTAGTGCTCATCACAGAATTGCCGTCCTAATACCCATCACCCATTTAACCCATTTCCTCACTCACTTCCCCTCCAGCAACCCTCAGTTTGTTCTCTATAGTTAGGAGTCATTTATAGTTTCCCTTCCCCTCTATTTTTATCTTATTTTTCCTTCCCTTCCCCTATGTTCATCTGTTTGGTTTCTTAAATTCCACATGTGAGTGAAATCATATAATATTTGTCTTTCTCTGACTTATTTTGCTTTGCAAAATACACACTAGTTCGATCCATGCACTGCAGATGGAAATATTTCATTCTTTTTGATGACTCAGTAATATTCCTGTGTGTGTGTGTGTGTCTGTGTGCATGCATGTGCACGTCACATCATCTTTATCCACTCATCAGTCAATGGACGTTTTAGCTCTTTCACTAATTTGGTTATTGTTGATAGTGCTGCTATAAACATTGGGGTGCGTGTACCCCTTTGAATCAGCATTTTTGTATCCTTTGGGTAAATAACTAGTGTGCAATTGGTGGGTTATAGGGTAGTTCCATTTTTACGTTTTTTTTTTCTTTCTTGTTTTTTAATTTTAATTAAAAAAAAAAAAACATATAATGTATTATTAGCCCCAGGGCTACAGGTCTGTGAATTGCCAGGTTTACACACTTAACAGCACTCACCATAGCATATACCCTGCCCACCATAGCACATTCCCTCCCCAATATCCATAACCCCACCACCCTCTCCCTACCCCCCCTCCCCCCAGCCACCCTCAGTTTGTTTTGAGATTGAGTCTCTTATGGTTTGTCTCCCTCCCGATCCCATCTTGTTTCATTTATTCTTTTCTTACCCCCCAAACCCCCCACGTTGCATTTCCACTTCCTTATATCAGGGAGATCATATGATAGTTGTCTTTCTCCAATTGACTTATTTAGCTAAGCATAATACCCTCTAGTTCCATACATGTCGTTGCAAATGGCAAGATTTTATTTCTTTTGATGGCTGCATAGTATTCCATTGTATGTATATACCACATCTTCTTTATCCATTCATCTGTTGATGGACATCTAGGTTCTTTCCTTAGTTTGGCTATTGTAGACATTGCTGCTATAAACATTCGGGTGCACGTGCCCCTTTGGATCACTACATTTGTATCTTTAGGGTAAATACCCAGTAGTGCAATTGCTGGGTCATAAGGTAGCTCTATTTTCAACTTTTTGAGGAACCTCCATGCTGTTTTCCAGAGTGGTTGCACCAGCTTGCATTCCCACCAGCAGTGTAGGAGGGTTCCCCTTTCTCCGCATCCTCGCCAGCATCTGTCATTTCCTGACTTGTTAATTTTAGCCATTCTGACTGGTGTGAGGTGGTATCTCATTGTGGTTTTGATTTGTATTTCCCTGATGCCGAGTGATGTGGAGCACTTTTTCATGTGTCTGTTGGCCATCTGGATGTCTTCTTTGCAGAAATGTCTGTTCATGTCCTCTGCCCATTTCTTGATTGGATTATTTGTTCTTTGGGTGTTGAGTTTGCTAAGTTCTGTATAGATTTTGGACACTAGCCCTTTATCCGATATGTCATTTGCAAATATCTTCTCCCATTCTGTCAGTTGTCTTTTGGTTTTGTTAACTGTTTCCTTTGCTGTGCAAAAGCTTTTGATCTTGATGAAGTCCCAATAGTTCATTTTTGCCCTTGCTTCCCTTGCCTTTGGCGATGTTCCTAGGAAGAAGTTGTTGCGGCTGAAGTCGAAGAGGTTGCTGCCTGTGTTCTCCTCAAGGATTTTGATGGATTCCTTTCTCACATTGAGGTCCTTCATCCATTTTGAGTCTATTTTCGTGTGTGGTGTAAGGAAATGGTCCAATTTCATTTTTCTGTATGTGGCTGTCCAATTTTCCCAGCACCATTTGTTGAAGAGGCTGTCTTTTTTCCATTGGACATTCTTTCCTGCTTTGTCGAAGATTAGTTGACCATAGAGTTGAGGGTCTATTTCTGGGCTCTCTATTCTGTTCCATTGATCTATGTGTCTGTTTTAGTGCCAGTACAGTACTGTCTTGATGATGACAGCTTTGTAATAGAGCTTGAAGCCTGGAATTGTGATGCCACCAACTTTGGCTTTCTTTTTCAATATTCCTTTGGCTATTTGAGGTCTTTTCTGGTTCTATACAAATTTTAGGATAATTTATTCCATTTCTTTGAAAAAAATGGATGGTGTTT